GAGATAGTCTCATGCCGCTTTGGCGCACCGTAACAGAAGTGCATCGTCATCCGTCTTGAAAGTGTGGTCTCAGGATGGCCGATGTTTGAGTTTGGTCGACGCGTGCTGTCGGGGATGAGGCGTTTGAGCTCGTAGACAACGTTGGTCATTTTCATTAGTGAATCATTCATGGACAGGCTGTTCTCCATGATCAGATTCGCTATTCTGGACCTTTTGTAGTGCATTGTGAGCTTGGTCTTATCGTCAGGATTTGCTGGAAAACGGTTTCTTGACATGATTTCGCGAATAGTTTTGCCTTCAGACTTGTATGCAGTTGACATTCCGTTTTGATAAGACAGGTTAGCGTCAGTGCTTACGTATTCCTTCTCCGTCAGCTTGTTCATCGTGTGAGTAGAAGTGCTAGAGTGTGTCTAATTCCGTCAAGCTCCTGATGTATGAGCGACCACGCCGCGCATGGTTTGCTGCTCTCCTCGCTATATGCGTAATGCTCCTCACAAATGGGCATAGCAACACACACAGTTTACTTTACGGCTGCTTACTAAAGCCGTTCACAAAAAAATACAGCAAAACAAGTCCAGACAGCTCAGTCAGTGATTCTCTTGGACACAGTGACAGGTAGTTTCAAAATACAATGAACCAATTCGTGCATTCCAGCGGCAAGTGCAAGCAACAAGTCGCGCATGTTTCTGAGTACAGGCAATGAAATGAGGCGTGCATGACTTAGACTTAGACTTATAAGTGCGAGGGCAAGCAACAAGGGGCCACACCTCGCAGTTCAGATTTTTTTGTGGGTGTAGCGCATGTTGGGCACGCGCGTGATTCCAGTCGAACCCGTCTTGCTGAGTCCATGTGCATACCTCGAATGTCCTCGCCGAGGGCCGCCACCGAGAGTGCAACGCTGGAAGACGCACTGTGCGACACAGCTGGCAGAGTAGTGTTTTCGTACGAACCCGGTTTCGACCAGTGCCGACTACTCGGCTCGCGCGGCTCGTTTTCAGCACTCCTTTCTCCAACACAAAGCAAAATATCAGAGGCGTATGCAGGGTGCATGATGGAGTCGGCCGTGTATTTCAAAACAGTAGATGTCTTAAACTCAGTTTGTTGGTGTGACATCAGCACAATCTCCTTTTGTAGTGAGATACTTGAGGCCTTTGCGCTTTGCCTCGTGTGCACGCCATTGACAGACCGCACTAATTAGCACACGCTGTGGGGAAAAGCCAGCAGAGTCAGGGGAGGCTCAGTAATGAGACGACCTTTTGGAGGTATTTGATTTCGGACCATTCCGTCACAGCCAGTCGTGATCATTAACTTCGTAATGCGTAACTGAAACTCGAGCGGGCGAGGGTAAGCGCACACAAAACTGCCCGCGTCACAGCTGTGTCCTATGATTCCAGGTAAGTCTTCATTTGATTCATAGCTCCCTTTCTATATAAGAGGTGATTGTTAAGCTAGTAACTCACCTCACGCCATTGTAGTGTTGAAAGCTTTGCCACACCAGGTAAACGTTATGTGAAAGGTGGCGGCCAAACTTCCCCAAACTATGATTGCTTCAAGGCTTCTTACGTTTACTTTCACAGCGTTTTCGACGGAGTACATCCCGGCTGCTCCGACGGTTAGAACACTTGTTTTCTGATTCACTCTCCCGTGGCGTGGTGAATTCGAGTCATTTTAAGGTCAGGCTAAAAGGTCAGTTAACGTCAGAGGTGAGAGCATACAGTACCCAGCACCGGGCTTTGGGGTACGTCAATCTTCCGCTGCTAAAGTCTGCCGCTGACCCGGACTTTGACGATTCGATGACAAGGGTCAGGACTTACGTGACAATCCTTGCTCGGCCAGAGCGCTGATCACCGAAATCTATCCATTACATAGGTTCGAATCAAATCTTAAAAGCAAGACTCAACATCAAATCTTGGAAAGGTTTTGCTATTGATATGGTCAGAATGCTTGCTGCATAGAATCATGGAATATTCAGACATAGCAGCATTTGTGATCACATCTCTTTCATTTAAGCTATATATTCAGATTAATGAAAGAACTCAGGCTCTCCAGGTCTGGTTAAAGAATGATACTGATGACATTTTGCCAGCCTTTCCCACAAACACCAGCAAGTTCCGACGCCGCAGTGTTTGCCATCATCTAACCGTGAATTCGACCTTGAAAGTTGATCGGATCAGGTCGGGTTCCCAAGATGTTGATTTGATCTGTATACAGCTATCTTGCCGATCCGTTGAGCTTCACTTCTAGTCTTGTCATTGTGACATTTCCTGCGAATCGAAAGATCTCACATATACCTTTATCGTCCCATGATCTATCGGAAGACATATAATATAGACCATATATGGACTATAAGATACTCGGCTGGGAATTCCCAACGGGCGAATATGTATTCATGAACCGTTTCGGTGGATTTAACCACGCGCACTTTGGGGCTGTACTCGGAGGGAGCAATGCAGCTCAAATGTTAAGATGTGACCAGTTTCCGCGCAGCCGCAGCCACGTAGCCGATCTTGTAGTTGAGTACGTAGCGCGTCAAGGGCACTGTGCGCCAGACGTGAGTTGTGACACGACTTTACGTGGCACGTTAGCGTTTGACTAAGTTTGTGCACGGAATTGGGGTTGACCTACTGGGATGTGGAGTCACGGTTCTCGCAGAGCGCTATGTTTAGCAAGGACTTCGATCTCAAGGCCGCCTCCGCAGAACGTTCGCTTCATTTCGTTTCCTACTTACTCCGCAGACAATGCTTCGATGGACATCTGAGATGAGCTGAATAGCGTCGCAGTGCAACCAGGAGTTGTAAGATACTGCTAATGTCGTATATAGCACAATACCGCACAAAACGTTTTTCGCAAAATGGTCAGCTTGCATTCAAAATATATGGTGGAGCCGGAAAGACAAGGAAGGATGGGTCAATCATTTTTGTTAATCTCTTTCCGTCAACGCCCATGGGGCCAATGCTGGCCACTGGCCATAGGGCCAATTTCAGAAAGTTTAGGGCGAGGGTTCCTCCTGGCTACTCCGCTTCTCGCGTCCCTGTTGAGTGCTAACCGATCGCCTCACATGCTAAGTGACACCATTCATCGCTGACGTCAGCTGCCCGCCGTGCAATGGGATAGTAGGAGCAGTACATCTGGACTGAGGTTTGGTGCACAGTGGTTTTACATTTGCATGCATGTTTTAAGCTTGTCAAAGGTTTCATTAATATAACACTCCAACTTTTGTTTTCGAAACTCTATTGGCTGGGCTTTTTTACTGGAATCCAACCAATGCCGTCAGCAAGTAAGCGCGACTGTAGTGAACTATCGCCGGGCGGGCGATATTCTCATCATCGCGGGCCGAGGGAACCCACGGCGCCCACTGCCATCTCGCAAACTGAACACGCTGGAGCCGGCGAAAGGCAGCGCCAGATAAGTGTGATTTTATTTGTTAAAAATAACCTTTTTGATCGGTCAAACATGATTAACGAGCCTAACACAGTGAATGTAGTCAGGCTTTCTTCCTTAAGACTTGCGTTTGCGCTGACAATGAGATAGTGTATTGTATAGCCTCTAACACACTAAATCATACAGCGGTGATAACTCGAAGGGGTTACCCGTGATCTTTGACACGATAAAGCAGGTCATACCGGCCAAGCAGCAAACACTATGAGCCCTCATTCCCCTCTCAGGTCTAAGCATGACAGAGCAACGAATCAAACGATGTTAGATAGCGTTTGTTACCAGTGATGTTAGCAGTTTGTTGCCAGATCAAATTCCAGCGAGCATGATCTTAGATGGGTGTGCCCTAGATTTCGGAACGCTATCATTAGATCACATACGACCAAGTTATTACAGTTAGAAATAATTTTCGGCTTTATTTTAGGGTTGATTGTTTTACCTAAAACGACCCTGAGTGGCTTCACATGGTTACACTTGGTGTAATTGTATTTGGAATGGCTGCAAGGATAGGCATTCCCGCAAATTGTAAGTCTTGGCTTCAATGTGAAATATGACCTGCATTATTTCGACGGACAGTTATTCATACGCAGACTATGAAAGGCTTGCCTTCACATTTTATTAAAATATGGAGAATGTTTATAAGAGGCTCACTGAAAACCTCAGCTTCATACATTTAGCGGATCTTGGTCAATCTTAGTTCTTAGTAACGCATGTAAAGTCTCAAAGGAATTCTGTCTGCTCTGACCGCACCACACACCTTCCTATTCGGTGACAGTCAAAAAGTGTGTTTCACCTTGAAGGACTACCACAAAAGAGCAAACATGATGGAGTAACTCGTGGCAAACATGACCATGCTATTTGCAGTTTTCGAAAAGAGTTAAAGCCGCCAAAGCTTGTTCATGGCGAGAATTCGGGACTCTTGCAGTACAATGCGCATCACATTAAATCGACCGCCAGCGGTGGTTGGTGGCAAGCACTTTGAGAGGAAGTTTTATCGATTCTGGCTACGTACAAGTTTTGAAGATCAATTGGGTTCTTGTTCAGCTGTATTTAAGGTCGGAAACTAAAGCATTTCGATCTAAATAAAGCACTAGTTGTGGATATATTTTGTAGACTATATAATGGCCATGCCACATCAAGACTTCACACGAATATAGAAAATTCACTCTTAACAACGATCAGAGGAGTTCACATGAGCAACTAAGATATCACCGGCTTGTGCAGACGTTACATCATAACTCGCTTTCAAAACAAATATGAACGCGTCTAGCGCCCTGGAAAATTCCCTGTTTAAATATCCCACTGGTATTGCGGTTCTTATTTGAACGTGGGTTTGTTGCTTTACCTCGAGCATCGGTTAGAATTAAGGCCCTTTTAACCAGCAATTATGCTGGTAACAATAATGCTACTAACGCTAATCGCAATAAGAGTAAGGCTTGGAGCCATGGCAGGAAGTATAAGACTCAACAACGCATGAATACCTAGGTGTTGCCATGGCAACTCAAGAAAATGTGTCAAGCTTTTGGAAAGACGTAGAAAAATATCAACAGTGCGAACATTAACAGTGTACGCAAAAGCACGTGCATAGCACTACCTCATACAGTCAATTGGTATTTAATGATGAGAGGCGCGTTAAAACGATCTTAGTGGTTGTGGTTTCACTGACAGAAATTGATGACATGACGTGTAACTGGTTTCTTTTATAGAAGATAGTTAAGATGATGTGGACAGAGGTTTCAATCAATGTTCAAGGAATCCAAGCTTAAATCGTTTTTCAGGTAAGCAATAGCGTCGTTGCGTCTGTAAGATTTCATCAATATGGCAGAATTTGGTTTAAATCCAGCATTGGAGTAAACATTTTTTCCCCACGACAGACACCAAGAGAAGTCGCCATTTAGTGGGACCATGCCGCGCGATGTTGTAAAAATCAGCACCAGGTGATTGCAAGCTGGCAGCGTAAATGTGCGAGCCCTGCTCGTTTAGGTCACAAGGTTAACTTCCATAACTCATCAAGCTCTCTGGGTCAACTGCTGTAGTTATGAGCATTATGGGCTGCCACGGCAGTTACACTCACCAGAATGCTCGCCTGTGTCGTGCTGCTAGATGTAGGCTTCAGAATGTTCTGTCGACGTTTGATTTCGGCCTTTCGACCGCGCGAGCGCTTATCGAAATCGTAACAGATATCTGGACTTACGTGGACAGTACTTACTGACTTACTGACAGACTTACTGATTCGTATTTCCAGCCATTAAACAGAGTCGTTGCATTGTACATTGCGTTCTTAGTAAAAACGTGACATGACTTAGTTGAATGTATGGTTACATGGATCACGACTATTGAGCAGCGTGGATACGAAATGCAAATGCAATGCATTTTTAATGCAACAAGCATTGCCGCTACATTGCTATCATGGTTTATCTCCTGCAATACTAAATACGGGAACAACGTTCCATACATGGTGTAACATCATGCTGACACTTCATAACCTCACGCAGGTGGTAAAACAGTACTTCTCACACCTATGTTTATGTTACAAGAATGATGAATAGCTACCGTTGCCATGAACTGATGCGTAACAGGTGCCTACGCTACCTCGCAGTGACTACAAAAACCATGTCAGCCGCCCTGGGACATCTTCTAAGCCCGAACGAGGCTTACTCGCCCCAGTCATCCACCTCCCGCCTGGCTGTCCACAAAATGAAGTCAAGGGCCGGCTACGGTGCCTCGCCGACCAAGGACAGACCGGTCCAAGCGCTGACCGGGGAGGCTCTGGAGCAGCACATCTCGCAGCAGTTGTTCGTGGGGGACATCGAGACCGAGCGAAAGACGTCCAACCTGCGACGGCTGAGGTCAGTCACGAGCGCACGCTGTAGTGCTCTTGCCACGGAGCTCGGGGTCAGGGCGTCACAGCGCTTTTTTCGATTTTCAAGGCTCGGTAAGCATGTATTCTTCACACCTTCTAATACATTTGATGGTCCAAGCCAAGGGGCGATCCATTCTTGCTCATGAGGTTCTAATCAGCGCACCTCCGCCCCCTCCCCCCACCCCTCCCACCCCTCTTCAGCGTTACCAGCGATGATGGTCAACGGTTAAACCAACACCCAAGCAGGCGTATAACCAGGGGAGCCATATGTGTAACATACCGTTTTCCCGGCGCGATCGGTAGTCAGCTGCCGCAAAGGGTGGTGGTCAGCAGCGCGCTCCTGGGCGTTGGCCACTACCAGTAGGCTGTGACCGGCCGGCTGTCGCGGGCTCCCTTTAGGTCGATGGTTCCCGGCGCCGAGGGTTCGGCGGCCAAGCGGGCGCAGCAGCTGGCCACGCACACGCCGGACGTGCTGATCCACGATCGTGACACGAAGATGCCGCACCGCAAGGACACAATCGCCATCACATTCTTCGTCGACGTGTCCGGTGAGGCCAGGCAGCGGCTCCGACTCCGTCTTATCTGTTCTGGACTGGTGCACTGGCCAGTAATCACCAACGTTGCGTTTATGTGCCATTGTCTTTCCCATGCGGGTGTAAAGCTTTGGTCATTTGACTTTTGTTTGCTGGCAAAAGCACCTCTATTCATACGTGGCGCTATGTGTTGCTAAACCTAGTGTGCAACACTCCAGCGTGCCACGCGTGTCACACGCAGCGTGCTTGGAAGAGACGGCTTGATCACTTGCGACGACTGATACACCTCCATCCCAGTACCCGGCGCCTGCGACGAGCGCACGGCCCACCTGTGCACGGCCGCTGGCTTGTACCGCACTCTGTGACGTACCGTGAACCGGCAGGGTTCACGGCACTGACTGAGAAGTATACGCTGAGCGGTCGCGGTGGCACGGACAAGCTGACTGAGACGCTCAACAGTTACATCGGCGCCCTTGTCGAGTGCATCCTCCGCCGGGACGGAGATGTGCTGCAGTTCGCTGGTGCGCACCGAGGGGCCACGTCGGAATGTCACTCTGATCAGATGCGGATGCAGGCGTGTATTCACCAACGGCCTGTGGCAAACATGGCTTGATATGTCATATCTAAACGGTGGAGGGAGGTTCTGGGTAACACCGCTGCTAAGCACGCCCACACAAGTACCGCATGTCCATGGCCTCTCTCAAGGTGCGTGGCGAGAGGGCAATGGATTGAATTCTCGCGTGTGCTGGTGGAAGTCATTGAGGCGACAGATTGCTGATCTAAAAATCACAGGCTTCAACGATAGGTTGACACATTGCACAGCAGAAAGAGGATGTATATGTCGATGCGTTTGCGTATCGATGCTTTGGCCTGCGTTGTTTTACTTAGAGAGACGATTGTCCCTGTTACTGCCGCAAAGTGTGTTATTCCTGCTACGCCGATGCTCTGGTCGCAAATGTGATGCACATTTTCAGTAGCATTTTGGTTGTCAGGTGACGCCATACTGGCGATGTGGCCGTGTAGCACGGAGAAAGAGATGCCAGCTAAACTAGAGGAGGCCATCACCTGTGCTGTGCACATACAGGAACATTACGGCATCCGGAAAACAGATGTCGGAGTGAAGCTCAAAGGTAGGCGCCTTGGAAGTGCGGGATGTTGACCCGTTTGTCTCCTTGTTGTCTTCGCGATTATCCATGAATAGGTGACCAGGTGCACCTCCCCTGTACAGGGGCGGCAAAACCGGCCAAGAGAAAAATTTTAATAAGTGGCAAAGTCGCGTCTTTCCATGCTGGGAAAGGTAAAACCAACTACATCACATGAGGCAAGTATATACAGGCATCGGTTAGCACCTCCCTTGTTAGCATCGTATAAATGCGTTGAATTGTGACATTAATGAGCTGCGAAGACATATAATTGGAAACAGTCAGTACCAAGAATGACGACTGCCAGCTCGTCAAAACTATCACCAGAGTTAGTTTACCTAAGTTTTGCGGGCTGGACAGCCTGCCACCGCTATTAATTCAACTATGCCCCGATGTCTAAGAGATCAAGTAGTAATGCTGGTGAACGCACGAACGCACCCCAATATCGGGATAGAATTTATTGTGCTTTGTGCGAAGACTCATTGTGCTTTGGGTGAATAGTTACAGGTAAAGACGGCCTCCTTCATGCCATCTGGATCAGTTTCTGATTCACGGGAATGATCAGTACTGACCGGACCAGATTGCTCTTTTCGATGGCAGTTCTCTTCTGTTACAGTCATGCTAATAAGGACAACACACAAAGATCCACTTGACAGACCATAAGTTAAATTCTTGTAATTATGTATGATACCAAAAGCAAAGGTACATCGCGACAGCAAAGTTATACACATGGGCACCTACCAAGGCTACCAGAAAAGGCTACGCAGACGTGACGTCACCATGGGACTAAAGTTTGGTAGCCCGTAGTATGGTTTTTGGCTGACGCTACGCAGAGGCTGGTAGATACTAGTAATGTGATTACGAACGGAGATTTCGCCAGTGAACTGAGTAGCAATCCTGTTCTAGATCTCTGTTTCAGTGTTATATGAACAGATATTGTACAGTTTGAATTTAAAATATTGTAAAGACAACTGAATGCTACGATCTACTTCAAAAAATAAATCCTTCTAAACCACGTTTTCTAGGTCCAGTACCTACGCCATATTCGTAGCATTCAACGATCCTGGACATTCCTATGTAACAGGTCTTTGTGAAATGTATACTTATTTGTAGCTAAATGGATATCATGTGTAATATTTACATTAAATATATAAATAGGTAATAATTGCCCATTTACCGCCGTACTGCAGCACCTACATGGAGTGAAATGTGAAAATAAGGTAATCCGAGCAATGCAGGTGCCAACAATTTTGCTGTTACTTTACTATGATCTTCCTAGTCGTTGGTTAACTTGTAGATCCATAATGTCGGATGGTTTGGGTGAAAAATGGACCCAGGGAATCATACCCCGACTGCAATTACATATCCCCAAGACTATTTATCAGATGAGACATGGACCACCACTCTTTGGCTGGCAGAAAGTGCAAAACTTGGCAGAGATCATCATATTTTACAGGAAAATCTGCTGTCTTGAACTGAAATGACGCGCTCTGCATTTACGTCTGCCGAGGTTCACCTTTCACTGCCCCCCTTAGGGCAAGACAACCCCGTATCCACCCTGGCAACGTCCCTCTTAAGGCTAAAGGATGCACATCCCAATTTCGGAATGCGCGTCCCAGGATGCTGCAAGCCCGTCTGAGCCGCCTTTTCTCACCTCCAGCCTATGTTGTTGTTGTTGTTGTATGTTGTATTCTTGAATGCAAACTGTCTCTAAGCACTTACGGCTAGAGTTCTTTAAAATAAATCACTGATAAATAGGTTACCCCATCCCTCCATCAGGTGCAAGCTGGAACCGCATTTCAGCAATGATTTTGTAGCTTTGGTGCAAACCAACACCATTTCCCAAATGAAAATGTTTCATTGAGTGCGCTGGGTCGAAAAAAATGCGGTTTAACGAAATGTTTATATTTAAAACGGGCCGCAAATAATAGCGTTTTCACGCCGCTGTAGCGTTGGTGCCATCGATTAAGTCCCATGATGACGTCACAGCGTCGCCTACCCAGAATCCGGTAATGCGTGGCTTGGGTACCTACCATAAGCTTTTGGCGAATACCTATGGCTAGAATACTGTGCAGTGGCTGCAAATTATTTGCGAAATGCGCTACCTCCAGTACTGCGCCGTGACTTTCACACAGTAACGATCACGTATCTACATTAGGAACAATAAAACAGAAAACGATGTCCGGTTTAAGACACAGCATGGAATGCAGTATTTATTACTGAGGCAAAGAAGCAGGTAAATCAAATTATATGTGACTTGCCACTTTGAGAAAATACACCATCCAGGAACTAGGTGGGGAGTTATAGCAGCAAAAGTTAGTACTTCCAATATCCCTAATGCACAACCATGGAAAGGCTCTGAGCTGATAAACTTTGATACAAGAAGCCAGACAGCTCAGTTAAGGACTTAACAGAGGTCATGAAAATAAAAACCTGCGGAGCACTGACCCCCAACGAGACCAAAAATGTTCCCTTGAAATGGAACCATGACGTCTGGTCGGTGCCTTCGACTTGCACCGTCACCATCATCTTAACTACAATAACACGAAAAAAACAACTTCGTGACCAATTGAGGATATCTGTGATCATGCTCCCACGAAACATGGATATCTGTGATCATGCTCCCACGAAACATGGATATCTGTGATCATGCTCCGACAAAAACCACAAAACAACCGAGTATTTGCCAATACCAAATCCCGAACCCCTCCAACGTCCCCAGACAACTCTCACGGACGACTCGATGGCTCTTCCAATATGGCAGCAGCTTTCACGCACTGGCGAACAGCTGTTGTTCAATCTAGTCCTTTCTATTTACGTTCAAGCATACCATAAGTTATGGTACATTTTCATGATATTCTTTTAAAATGTATTTTTTGATGTCTCTACAGGGTAATTTTGTTCTTCCGCAATTCATGGATATTTGGCAACATTTTTCAAACTGGAATTCCAGGCACAGAAAGCACTGCAAGATAAGGAAAAAGCTTTATAGTTAGAGGCAGCAAAAGGAGTTTGGGAGTATCGCACAGCTCTGAGGTTGACTGGCTGATCATATATGAACATAACAGAAATCGATGGTGGTAACGTTTCATTAAGTTGGCTTAGAAGTATGGTGATGATTTGTGCCTTTACACGGTCAAGAAGTTTCAAAATTATGTGTTTTTACACAGATCATTTGAGAGAAAATTGTACAAATTTTTTCAGGGATTCTTCAAGCGCATTTTTAATGTCTGAGTAATTTCTGAATATCTTTAGGGTAATTGCTTCGCCAAATAGCAGCACAATAGCTGAGATGAGGAAAAATCATGATCTTATAAAGAAGCAAAGATCACGAGATGCGACGAGAGATATAATTCATTCATTTCAATAACACCCAAAGTTCAACTGATGAGAGCGGATGTGCTGCTAACATGAATTCGCCTTTGAAAGTTTTCATCAACTCCTAGGTGCTCCAACTCAAGTTCAACCAATGAGAGCGGATATGCTGCTTACATGAATTCGCCATTGAAGGTTTTCATCAACTCCTAGATGCTTAACATATTTTTGATGGTTGAACCTTTGCTGCTGATAAAATATTAGAAAATTCAAGCATGCTCTTTGGGGAAGTGGAGGGAAAAATATTGTAGCATTTTCGTCTGGCTCATCACCCACAGTTGAGTAAATTTAAGCCTGTCTCCATTTACCAGTGTCATGAAGGCACCAGTTTAAGTATCCATCGGCGCGTTTATTTCCTTAGGTGTGCGATGCAAGTTAAAGTTTCTTGGGTACATCTTTTCCACTTGCCTTGCTGTGAGCCAGTTCATAATGAACCACTCCTTGCATTGCATCGCTGGTAGCGATTCGGCACTTCATTCGATAAGTGGCCAGTACTAGGCAAATCAATTGTCGAATGCAATAGGGCGGAGCACAGACAGAGGCCGTGACCTTGAGAACGCAATTCATTTGTGGCTGAATCACGCTAGCGTGTATACAACTCAACCGTGTCTCATCCGTGGCTGCCGCAACGAATATCGGGCACCACCTTCTCAGCCCCGCTCTCCTTTCCGCATCCCACCGCAGCGAAGGTGGAGTTACAGGCCAACTAACCCTACACCCTTCGACTGCCCGCCGCAGTGAAGGTTGGTATCGCGTGCGGCAGCGTCACCATGTTCTTCATCGGCATCAGCAGCTGCAGCCAGTTCGTGATCGTCGGCTCGGCGGTGGACGACGTGAACGCCAGCGAGAACCAGTGCGAGTCGGGCGACGTGGTGGTCTCGCCGCGCGCCTGGGAGGTCATGCAGGCCGGCACGTCGTACGTGGCCGAGCCGCGCGGCACCACCGGCTTCATGAAGGTGCGGCTAGAGGCGGCACTCGCCACGGCGAGGAGGCGGCGTTGCGGTCTGGCACAGCGGCGACGAACGTCGCGATGGTGGGATGGCCAGACCCGTTTTTGAATTCAGTTGTTTTCGTGAATCAACATGGGGTTGGTGATAACGTTTGGCGGACAGCTCGTGACCACGATGCAGGCAGCCCCCAGCACCGTTCTTACCCTTTTCCACCTGTGACAGAATGGACGTCGGGAAATGCTTGCTACCTGTCCCCAGGTCAGACACAACGTGCGGGACGACAGTGACCGCGACAGTAAGGAGGCCATCGACATCGTTTCTGTGCGCCGCTCGGTTGCTGTTGCCGGCACCATGGAGGCCAAACTTACTCCTTACGTCATCCCACCCGTGCTGAAAAAGGTTCGCTCTAAACATAGGATGTGCTCTATGTAGCCTTGGGGCGTAGAGCAACAGGCTGGTGATTCCAATTTTTGGGAGAATAATTTCACGTCATGATCTGCTGAACCATTGGCTTCTCAGTGCATTGCTTTGTGACAGGCAGGTCCCTCACCTGCAGCTCCTGACCCCCACCTGGCCGTTGGGAGTACGCCTCAGGAGCGCCCCTGACCTGCATCTCGTCTAGCCTCTGGGAGTAAATTTCGGGAGCGTCCCCTGCAGCTCGTGACCCTCACCTGGCCGTTGGGAGTACCTCGCAGGAGCGCCCCTGACCTGCAGCTCGTGACCCACAGCTGGCCGATGACCAGCCGCTGGAGTACCTCTCGGAGATGCGTCAGGTCTCAATAGTGTTCTGCCAGCTGGCCACGGACGGCATCTCCTCGGAGTTGCCCGCCATTCTCCAGGACGCTTTCGTCATCATGCATAAGTTAGTAACAGAGGACATGCGTCTGAACCGGCACCGCAATGAAATGTTGGAAGCAGCGTGAGTTGGTGTTCCGCGGAACACACCTTGTCTGACTTGTCGCAAGATATCATATATTTATTTTATTCGTTTCAGAGGAAGGGAGGGAGAGAGCGAGAGAAAGAGAGGGAGCGAGAGAGAGAGAGAGAGAGAGAGAGAGAGAGAGAGAGAGAGAGAGAGAGAGAGAGGAGAGAGAGAGAGAGAGAGAGAGTGATGAGTGAGAGTGAGTAGTGAGTGATGAGTGATGAGTGAGTGAGTGAGTGAGTGAGTGAGTGATGAGTGAGTGAGTGCTGGGTGAGTGAGAGTGAGGAAAGGAGAAAGAGAGCGCAAGAGGAGAGAGAGGAGAGAGAGAGCGAGATGAAAGAGCTAGAGAGAGAGGAGAGAGAGAGAGAGAGATCTCGCTCCCTCTCGAGAGAGCGCTCTCTCTCGCGACACCCTCTCTCTCGGACGGAGCGCATCTCGCGCTAAGGCGCGCTCCTCAGCCTCGTAGCTCTCTCTAGGCGCGGAGAGAGCGATAAGACGCGAATCTAAGAGATAGCGATCGACTAAGATCTCTGCGATAGAGCAGCATTTCACTTTTTTCCCCTTAAAATGATTGTTATTTAATAGCTTGGCGTATCTTGTTCATTCGATAGGCATGCAGCGATGCATCGATGGATCACGACAGTTTTCCGTCGTGTTTGAAATGACAAATGAGGTGCAAGTACATGCACACCGAGTATCGAAAGTGACGCATTTTGATGCCTCATACTTGGCTAAGTATTGCCACGGGTGCCACCAGCCATGGCAGCGCTCTCATTAAAGGTAGCATGCTACTTTTCTACCTTTTACTTATCGTAGCGCCCAGAATGTGTCCATTTACAATGCGCATGTGTGGTTGGTCTTTCCTGCGGCTCGCCGCAAAACGGAGCATAATACGCACTATGATTCAAATAGGCCCTCGTGAGATCATGGAACCGTTTTGTTCATGTCGCGTTTGCGCGACGATTAACATTGATATAGAGCGTCACTAGATGCCTACGATAAAGCCGTTGCAAAAGGGCAAGGAGCATCGTTTTTGTCCCGTCTATTCACCACTTATGCAGCGTATGTGCGAGGACCAACTACATAAGCTATGCAAAATAGCCTGGAGAGTTCACATGCTGGGAATCGAACTGCTACAAGCAACATTCGTTTTGTGTTATTGTTTTAGCACTAGCTACTATTACGCCGCTCATTTCTCAGTCAAGTTGGCAATGCTTTGAAAATTCCTAAATAAGCATTCGTTCCCATTGCAAGCTACCTCATATAGCAGCAAATGGCTGCGGGCTTTCATTCTTGCGTGGCATTTTCACGCTGGGGTGGATGAAAGCAGAGTCGAATTTCCCAATACGCAACGCCAACCGATTTTTAATAGGGTACGTTCATCATTTCCCAGAACCAAGTATTGATAAAGCTGTTCATAATGGTCTAAATATTGAGTGTGGATCATGCTTGCACGCGGTCTGGGTCGCGATAACGCCGAAGACCGACGCTGCAGTCTCCGCGGGAGACGCAGCGTGCATTGTGACAACCTAGCATTTGGTGGCCGTGGGCAGACGGGCGAAGACGACAGCGTGGCGGAAGTGGTACCTTCGAATGCTTCTTGATGTTAGCTGTTAGGTTTTGCAGGTAGATGGCGTCGCAGGCACAACCTGAGCGATTTCCAGATTGATGCTCTTAACAGATAAGTGGTCGCGACGCAACGAATATTTCACGCGATATTGGAGCATCTGCCGCTCGAGTCAGTGTAACTACTAATCTGATTGAAAAGTTTATAAAAAAAATTCACACCTGAACTAAACTGCAAACAGTGCCATGCTGACATGATAAAAAATTGTATAGAACGGCCAAAGGTGCTAGCTTTTAGTGCATGGGCGTTTTAGTCCGCCTCATGTTACGGCTGGTGTTAACCACAGCAACCTGCTCCGTCAACAACATAAGGAAACTGCAATGCCGGGATACTTTATTCTTGCGATTTACGATTGCGAGCGCGCATTCTCAACCAATTTGTATTACTTTTACCGTGCCGTTCTAAACAAAAACATATCCAATGTGAACATGCGTTGGCTACAATCGATAACGCGCATTTTATGTAAATAATCAAGTTATATATTTTATGTAAAATGACAATATGTAATGATGCGCTTATACGTGATGTATGAAGTTCTACAACTGAACGAGCTCAGTCTGCGCTGTTCATGCCATTTTGATCCAACCGGGATTAGAGCCCAGGACCTGTGCATGAACGACCACTTCGTCGTTGTTTCCTGAGATGCTTAATTGCAGTACCACAGGAACCGCCTAAGTTTAAATTTAGAGATACGAGAATAGCGCCAATCGAAAGCGGATTACAATATCCATAATTAAATATTACTACCTGTGATCCTCGTCTTGAAACATAAGGTGCACGAGCTAGGAATAGATTATGGCATCTTTTGCATTTTTCATTTCGATGGTAAAATCCCCAACCTAGCGTCATTCTATCCCCAGATTACCGGCCGAATGGTATTGACGGACTCATTTATTGTACTGAATATAAATCAGCTCAGATCGGGAAGATACTGAGTTCATATTTGCGAGATGCGACAGAAAAGTTTCACAAAATATTTATTTTCATGAATATGTACTCACTTTTTTGGCAAGATGTGTGACAGCGCTATGACAACACAGCAGCGTGATGAACTCTTACATCTACTTTGGCCGTGTTTTAGGCGCCGCGTTGCTAGATCAGACGCTTGCAATTTGATCCGTAATGAGAGTTGTCTCGAAATCCTTGTAAATAGCTCAGAAACTCTATTTCAAGTAAGCGCTCCTGCGGGAAAAGTATCATTGGACTCCCTACCTATCACTATGAAAGCAATATATTTCATTTGCCTTGTTTTCCAGCGAGTATGTTTCGTTATGTTTTTAACACACTAACTCGTCAAAATGTTTGTGAAATAGATTCTATGAGGCTCGAAATACAGCTCAGTGGAAACAACACGCAAAAATAACGCCATTATCCCGCGACTTAAAGGAAACTTTATGATTTGGTTTTAATGCTTTTCTTATGGACTTCCGGTTAAAGACACAGCTTGTACTTACCTCGTCATGACGACAGCGGTCGCGACAACTGCAGCTGCCAAAGAAGAAGTGAAGTACTATTACAAAGCTCTAACAGAGCAAGTTGGACCCAAAAAATGGTCAAGATTGATATCCTTAAAATATCTTGGTGGTGCTTCATCGGCAATGCCCAGTGCGCTTAGAAGACGCAACTGGTCCGGACTTTCACCGGCGTATGTTTTTGAAATCTGACCAAAAGATGGGACACTCTCTTGAGGACTCTTCAGGCGCAGCCTAACTAAACTTAAAACTGCGCTCAACCTTTCATTACCTGAGATTGTATTAAAACTTAGTTTGCAACGACACATTTCAACGCCCTTAATGGCCTCAGGTTATCTAGATCTAAAAGCAACCATTTAGCCATCAAAAAGTGCTGTCAACATTTCTATGATGACATATATGCATCACATTCTCTTTTGTGTGGCCTTGTATTTTGAGTTATACCATAAGAAACACTGCCTTAGCAGTCCAGACATTTGCCTAGTTCCTAATATTGGCTCCTAGTTCCCACCGGTTCTTTCGACAAAACAAGATGCTGGATCCTGGTTCTCACTGGTTCTTTCGACAAAATATGGCGCTGGATCCTGGTTTGCACGTTTTTTTCGAAAAACAGGATGCTGAATCTTGGTTCCCGCCGGTTCTTTGACAAAACAAGACCCTGGATCCTGGTTACACTGGATCTTTTGACAAAGTAAAATCCTGGATCTTGGTTCCCACTGGTTCTTTCCACAAAACAAAAACCTGGGTCTTGGTTCTCACTAGTTCTTTCAACAAAACCAGGCCCTGGATTCTGGTTCTCACTGGTTTTTCCGTGTGAGAACGCGGGACAACGGTTCTATTTTATTGACCTCTTATTGCTCACACCAAAAAACGCTTCACCCAACGTGTAATAACCAGTATAAATCATCCACAACAATATCAGACACAAGTAAGGATTGTGTGTGTTGGAATATAGCTTCTGATAATAACAAATGCACTTAGGGAACATGATATGCCGCAAAGCTTGAGACGCAGCTCAAAAGAGGGAATTAAAATTTCAGATAATTTGTTCCAAAAATATTATAGCATTCTGCATGGTTCTTCTAGATATTTTATTCCAGATATTCTAGAATATTCCATTTTATTCTGTTTATACTTCCAGCCATTTCGAAGGTGGCTAGGAGGTAGACAAATTCAGCAACCATATATGCATATATATATATATATATATATATATATATATATATATATATGTATATACATATAGATATAAATATTAATAGAGCCATCTAATAGTGGTGTGGAACAAATATTGATCAGCTGATAAGAATGCGTTTTTCCGAAGATAAAGCTCAGTTGGCGTGGTTTCCATGGCAATGTGGCAGTGAAGCGCTGCTAGTGTGCGGTCGGTGTGAGGTGTGAAATCTGCGGTATGGGGGAAGTGAGATGAACTGACGTCCGGTTTTAACGGAATATATGCATTTTGTTAATAGGTTAGAATGTTCCCTCTGTCCATCTACCAGTTACCACCATATTCTGCAGGAGCGTTTCTGGCAAATGAACTTATGGCACTAATGGTGTGGAGGTTTGGCAAACAAAACAGTCGTAACTGTTCTTCCTGGAAAACCCGCGAGAACCAGGAACCGGGCTGGATGCTACCGGGGTCTGTGGTTGTGTCAAAAGTTATTAGAACCAGGGCCTGGCATTAGCAGGCAAGGAGCTAAAGAATGTGAGTCAGCTCTGGCTCGGCGATAGGTACATAGGTACATATGACTTGTCTGCAATGTACTGATCTGCTTTTTTAGAATATAGTAGTTGGGTTGTGCAGGGTGACCTTTTTAGGCCAATTTTTCCAAGGTCCC